CAATGGTCCAAACTCAGTTCAATACCAATATCAAAATGGTAAGAAGTGATAATGGTCTTGAGTATTTTTCTAAAAATTTAAACAATTTTTTTGCTGAAAAAGGGATTATTCATCAAAGTTCCTGCATAAATACACCTGCTCAGAATGGAATAGCTGAGAGGAAAAATAGACATTTGCTTGAAGTTACTCGTGCAATTATGTTCTCTACTGGGGTTCCAAAATATTTATGGGGAGAGGCTGTTTTGCATGCTACCTATTTAATCAATAGGATGCCTTCAAAAACCCTAGGATTTAAAACTCCTATTGATACACTTCAAAACTGTTTTCCTCAAACTAGACTTATTAACTCTCTTCCCATAAAGATTTTTGGCTGCACAGTTTTTGTTACAAATCCTGATAGAACTGCAAGCAAATTTGATCCTAGAGGCAAAAAATGTATTTTCTTAGGACTGTCTTCAACACAGAAAGGCTATAAATGTTTTGATCCTACAACAAAAAAGATGTTTATCACAATGAACACTAATTTTGTTGAAAATCAACCTTTTTTTTTAATAATACTCATCTTCAGGGGGAGAATTCTAGTGAAGATGGTAATACTGTTCAACATATTCATGAAAATCTTGAGTTTCTTGACATTAATCTAGATGCACATCATAACAGAATTTTAGATGCACTAGAAAATAGTCAAGAATCAGAAGAAAATGAAATAAATATTCCTGAAACAAGGGAAGGAGATGAGCAGCAGACAAGTAAATTCTGGGGCAAAGTTTATGAAAGGAGAGTTCCAAATCAAAGAATAGAGAACATCTCTGACCCTGCAACTGCTCATGAATCTGACTCAGTGTCAGAAAGTGACAAAGGTAATAACTCTAGTGATCTAAATCTACCAATTGCCCTCAGAAAAGAGAGAAGGTCATGTGTTAAATACCCCATCTCAAACTATGTGTCTAATTCTCAATTATCAACATCATTTGCAGCCTTTACCTCTAGTCTTTCCTCTATTTCTATTCCCTTAACTATCCATGAAGCTCTATCTAAACCTGAGTGGAAGAAGGCTGTTTTGGAGGAAATTGATGCTCTTGAAAAGAATCAGACATGGCAGGTTGTAGAATTACCCAAGAACAAACCAACAGTGGGATGCAAATGGGTATTTACTCCCAAATTCAAGGCAGATGGAACACTTGAAAGATATAAGGCCAGATTAGTAGCCAAAGGATATACACAGACCTTTGGAATAGATTATACTGAAACTTTTGCTCCAGTTGCAAAGTTAAATACTATAAGAATTCTTCTATCCTTGGCTGCTAACCTAGACTGGCCACTTCAACAGTTAGATGTGAAGAATGCCTTCTTAAATGGGAAACTTGAAGAGGAAGTATACATGAGCCCTCCTCCTGGGTTTGAGGGTCAGTATGGCTCAAAGGTGTGCAAGTTGGAAAAGGCCTTGTATGGACTTAAACAGTCCCCGAGGGCTTGGTTTGACAGGTTTACTCAGTTTATAAAGAGACAGGGATTCAAACAAGCTCAAGCAGATCATACTCTCTTTATGAAGTTTTCAAGTAAGGGGGAGATTGCAATATTAATTGTTTATGTTGATGATATCATTCTTACAGGAAACTTCTATAAAGAGATAGAAGACTTGAAGAAAAAGATGGGCCAGGAATTTGAGATTAAAGACTTGGGAGAATTGAAGTACTTTCTTGGCATGGAGATAGCCAGATCAAAGAAGGGGATTGTAGTGTCCCAGAGGAAGTATGTACTAGATCTTCTTCATGAAACTGGTATGAGTGCTTGCAGACCAATAGATACTCCAATTGATCCTAATCAAAAGTTAGGAGATGTCAAAGAAGGAGTTCCAGTTAATGTTCAACAATATCAAAGATTAGTGGGAAGATTGATCTATCTGGCACATACGAGGCCAGATATTGCCTTTGCAGTTAGTATGGTGAGTCAATTCATGCATAATCCATTCCAGGAACATCTTGATGCTACCTACAGAATCTTAAAATATTTGAAAAGCTGTCCAGGGAAAGGATTATTTTTTAGAAAGGGCAACAATAGAAGTGTTGAAGCTTTTACAGATGCAGACTATGCTGGCTCAGTTACTGACAGAAGGTCAACATCTCTGGGTATTGTACTTATGTTTGGGGGAATTTGGTGACCTGGAGGAGTAAGAAGCAGAATGTAGTTGCTAGAAGTAGTGCAGAATCTGAATTTAGATCTATGGCTAATGGAATCTGTGAACTACTTTGGATCAAAAGGGTAATTTCAGAATTGAATATGGAGATGGAACTGCCTATGAAGTTATACTGTGATAATAAGGCAGCTATCAATATTGCTCATAATCCTGTGCTACATGATCGTACTAAGCATATTGAGGTAGACAGACACTTCATCAAAGAGAAGATTGAAGCTGGGATTGTGTGTACTCCATTCATATCAACCAAGGAACAAACTGCTGACATTCTAACAAAGGGACTGTTCAAACCAGCATTTGAACTACTTATAAGCAAGTTGGGAATGTATGATATATACTTACCAACTTGAGGGGGAGTGTTGAAAAATGTGACATATTATTGTATTTTTTATTCTATGTACATCCGTTGCTGTATAGATTAGAATTAGAGCTGATAGATAGCTTTAATTAGTAGATAAGAACGCAGATAGATAGATCCTATTTTTTAGGATCTGAAACAGAATAGTTGTTATCTATACTCTGTATAAATACTTCAGCTGCATGGCTCAATAATATTCAAGGAAGATTAATTCCTCAAACTTACAGAAAGTTTTGATGATCCTTGATTGTTCATCTTCTTCCTCTTCCCGAGAAGTCTCATATCCGGATGATATCTCCCCAACTTCTCTTGGTTGTTTCTTCTTCTTTGGCCTTCTCTTCTTTTTGAGCCGGGCAACCTTGATGAAAGGATGTTCATCCTTTGGCTTTGCCTTTGCCGCGGCATTAGGCCTAGTTTCCACACTCAATGCCGCGTCATTTGATGTCCTTGCCTCTTTTGCCACGACATCAGCCCCTTTTGCCCTCTTGTCATCCTCTTCTTTCTTCTTATCTTCCCTCTCTTTCTTCTCTATTGACGCTATGGTTTTGCACGTGAATGCATGGTGGCCATAAGCTTTGCAATGGAAGCAAAGTTTAGGAAAGTCTCATATATGATCTTTTGAAAATGGAATCTCCCATTTGGTAATCTAACTTTCAAAGTTAGAGGTGGAGGTTTAGAAGCATCCAATTCTATGAGAACTCATGCATACCGTGATATAGCCCTTTCTTGGGTTACCCTATCTGTGGTTCGGGGTACCCCAACCCGTGAGGCAATCTCACTAATCACTTCCTCTTCCCATATTTGCATTGGGTTAGGAAACTTCACCCAAATTGGAACTTTTAAGAACTCATCACTTTAAAAAGAGAAGTCTTCCGAAAGTGTTTTAAGGTAGATGGACTTTCCAAACAAGGAGTAGGGACCCTCCATAAGCACCTTTGATCTAGCCTCCTCACTTTGAAACTTGAAAATGACCCAACCCTTATCATGGGTTCTCACTTTGCATTGCACTCCCCATTTGGATACTAACTCTTGAATAGGTTTGAAACCGGGGTATCTACCCGCAAAGTAGCCACTAGGCAATGGCCCCAAATCTCAACAATAGATGGCATAATCCTCTTATGCAAGTCTACAAAGTCTCCCACGGGCTCAATATACCTTACTTTCATACCTTTACTTGGTTCCATTTTGTCTTGGAACAAAGAAGTCCACGGTTTTGCCACTTCTTTTTCTCTTCCATCCTAAATATCATCCTTCTTTGCATGGTTGTCCTCATGGTTAACTTCATGGTTTGAGGAGGTTTCATCATCCACCATGACTTGAATATGTTCAATGGCCTCATGACCTTGGGGTACCAAGGAAATAATAGTACCCCCTCCATCATTAGAAATCCCCCTCAATAGGATCCTTGCCCACAGCCAAAGATGAGTCTCCTTCATCCTTCTTTTCATTTTCAATAGGAGTAGTTTCCTTTGAGTCATTGTTGGTTACCTCCTCATTTGTAGTTTCCAAAGAGGTGGAGTCTTCCTTTGTTGGTGTGTAACCATCATCCTCCCTCTTGGAATCATCTTCATCTGCAGAGGGGTCCTTGATTTCCTTGGCTTTCCCACTCTCCTTTGCATTCTTCTTAGCTTGGAGTCTAAGGGAGGTCTTTGTTGCCGTAGGTGTTCCCTTGAGCTTACTCGAACGTGAAGGTACCCATCGAAGAAGATGATGAATCATAACCTTCTTCCACAAATGAGCTCGGATGGAGACAAAATTTATGTGAGGAGGTTCGCCTAGGTGAGGCTAACCCCAAACATACCTTAAAATCCTTCCCAAAGCTATAGATTTGTGTAGATCTTGTTAGTTCCAAAAGTCAACTGTGAATAGTGTTTTTGTATTTCGCTTACGGGCGACGACCTAGCTATAGCGATATCCATATTTCGCTTCATGTCATGTGATGCGACTAAGTGATACTGTTGGCCGTTACGCGCCTACCATAGCACTCTCCTCCTTTATCCTTGCTTGGGACATGCATGATACCAAAAATGATCTCATAGTGGAGTTAAGAACCACACAAATATCTAACAAAAATAGTAAACAAGAGGTAATCAAAAGAGCAAATCCAGCTCACAAATCCGAGAGCTGAAAAGGAGAGGAGTACAGAATCAGGAAATTTGAGAGTGCCTTGCTCTCCAAGTTCTAACAATCTACCAGCAGCATGCCTCTCTCTCCTAGTCTCTACCTTTTATGCTCTCCCTCAACAGAATTGCCACCTCAGCTAGCAATTAGTTAATCTATCCTTCCTTGAGTTATATTTCACCTCCGGGCGTATAATTTAGAAAAGTCCCTATTGGCATTAATAGGAAAAGTATTCGGGACCCTATCAGCATGCCTCTTCATTGCCACTTTGCCACTTTGCCAGCCATAGCATATTTATTTTATTCTTATTGCACTCGTTATTAGCCAGGGGAAAGTTTGGAGGAGGCAGTGAGAAGAGAAACATTGGAGGAAACTGGTATTGAAGTTGGTGAAGTAGTTTATCATAGTTCTCAGCCTTGGCCGGGTATGCTCTACTCGTCATATGTTATGAACATTGTTTTCCTTCTAAAATGTATTCCCCTGATTCATTGGATTGAAACTATTTTCCTTTTAAGAGAACTGGGGAGGAGGGTTTGAATGTTTTGTAATCCCTTTCGTCCCAAATAATTTTGTCTTAGCAAAACATAGAAAAAATGTCCCAAAAAACTTTCTTATTAGGAGTTGTTTATATGATTTCTCATTTTCTTCCCAGATTTTCCTTATTTTAAAACATTAACATAAATTATTAGTAATTAGAGGTTGATTATCAGGAACCAGAACATATATTGCTCAGTTTATATTGCAAAATGCTTGGCTTTTGTTATTTAGAAAACATGGTAGAGGGAAGGTGCAGTCAGTCCGTGCAATTTTTGACTCGATTTTCACTATGGGTCATTCGGAAACAATCTCTATGTGCTTTAGTACCAGGGGGTAAGGCTGTGTACATCTGACCCCCCTTACCCCACCATAGGTGGGAGCCTTTGCGGTGCTGGGGTGATGATGATGATGGAAGAGGTTCACCATGTTTATTTGTAAAGGGACATATTTTGACAGAAGAGTTGATGGTTCCTAATCCTAATTTGATATTCCTTTCCTAATATAACCCCTCCTGAATGCTATCCTGAGTTGAGCTGCAGAAGTCATATTAAATTTACTCATAGAACTGTTCTACTTAATTAGCATAGGCTGCATGGATGAACAGTTTTATCCTTGTGGTTCAGACAAGATAAGCATGGTTTGTGTGAATAACACTAAGCTTACTCCTTGCTTAGACTATACATTGTTATGCACAATATATCTTAAACCTGCACTTATTCCACTCATTTATTGCAGTTGGACCCAGCAGTATGCCATGCCAACTAATGGTCGGATTCTTTGCATATGCTAAATCATTTGATGTTGAAGTGGACAAGGAAGAATTGGAAGGTAATTTTGTTACTTTGCCCTGCATACGAGTTGGTTTGTTTCTTATTGAGTGAAGAAGACCGTTTTTATGTATCTATTTATAGATGCCCAATGGTACAGCAGAGAAGATGTGAAGAAGGCTCTGACTTATGCGGAGTACTACAAGTCCCAAAAGACAAATGCAGCAAAAGTAGATCAAATGTGCAAGGGCGTTGAGAATCAACAACAGAACTCATCGGCGAGCTATAATGTTGAAAGTGGGGAGCTTACTACTATGCTTGTCCCTGGCCCCTATGCGATCGCCCATCATCTCATCTCCTCCTGGGCTAATAATAAGGTTGGCAGCGGCAACGAAACACAGCCCAATCAGAAGCAAACTGCTTCTCTTCCAAAGTTGTAGCCACTTTCTTAAACCAGAAACTCCTTAGAGCATCATAGTGTTACAACCCTGCCAGTTTCAAAGCTAGTGCGGGCTGCAGGCAGATGGGGAACTGGTTAAAAACCGGACCAAACGAGTTGGACCAGCGATTTTTTCTGTTCAGTAGGTTTGCACAGAATGGTGAATTTTGTCACATGTTCCTGTCATGGGGTTCATTATTATTTATTTATTTCACATATACACATAATACTTTGTATTGTATGAATGATAAAATCTTTTGGGTTGAAACTTGAAACACAACACAATGCGCATAACTTAGACTGGTATTATGTTTTGTTTTCATTTTGAACACGACAAATATGTATGCTTTTGTTGTTTATATGAATACTCTTAACTAGTTTCGAGTGTTAATAATGTTAGGGGTATATCCGTATATATGTACATTATAACATGTAATAATAGTAGTAATGGTATTATTATTATTATTATTATTGGGAAGTATGGATGGAGTGGGACAGGTCGGCCCGACCGGGGGCAGGCCCGATTCCGACACTGTTTAGTCCCGGCCCAGCCCAGTCCTCTTTAGGCCCGGAGCCCGGCCTAGTCCCGTCCACCTGCTATTAGGGCAGGCTTCGGGCTCAAATTTTAAGGCTCGACCCAGAAGAAGCCGGCTCGGGCTCGGGCCCGATTACATTATTTTTTTAATTTGTTGCTTAGGCCTGTCTTGGCCCGGGACTAGAGGAGGCTAATTCTTCGGCCTATACTATGCATCCAGGAGGTACTAGGATGTATCGAGACTTGAAAGAAGGTTACTGGTGGTCAGGTATGAAAAGGGACACGCAGAGTATGTCAGTCGATGTCTTACTTGTCAGCAAGTTAAGACGGAACATCAGCACCCGGCAATGCCTTACCATGCAGAATGGAAGTGAGAACATGTGACCATGGACTTCGTGGTAGGGCAACCATGGACGGTGAACAACTACGATGTGGTTTGGATAGTGGTTGACAGGCTTACCAAGAGTGCACACTTCTTGCCTATCAATATTACTTACCCTCTTAAAAGGTTGGCCAAACTATACATGGAGGAGATCGTGAGTGATAAGTCCGTATTTAGAAACGTATTCGATGCGTGTTGAGATCGGCTTTTGATGGTTTCCCTAATTATTTTGTGTCACAAGTCTAATTTTTAGCTCAAGTCATAGTTACCGGTTGTTGGTTCGAATTTTGTATTGTTTGGAGTCAAAATCGGGGAATTTAAGCCCGACACCGGCATTTGAGAAGCAATCAGGATGAGCCAAGATACATTCAAGAGATAATTGAGAGCTTTGGAGGTCACCGGGAGGTTCACGATGAAGATTTGATGACAAAAGAGCTCTAGAATTGGCTACGGGATCAAAAGAAGACGAACAGAGCTTGAAAACGGCGATCAGGATGACCTTCTGTTAATCGTTCAAACATATCTTTTTGTAGAAACATTCAAAGGACATGAATCAAGTTCCATATGAAAACCAACTTCAAGGGCTACAAATCATATGAAGACGCTATTGTGAGAATCTGAGAGGATCGAGGTGAAAACAAACGAAGAAGTTAGATGATTGTTGTTGCGATTTCAGAATGCGACCTTCTACCATTTTATTGATATCTTTTGATTGGATGATTCAAATCTAGTTTTGCAAGTTGTGGTGGATAGATGACTTCACTATCTACAACTTTCATGGAGGAAGCATCGTCAAATTCGGAAGTTTCACACACGCCGTGCGTAGAGGAACGCACGTCGTGCATCCAATGCTGAAATTCGAAGAACTCACTACCAGTCACGCACGGCCGTGCGTGGCACCGTTTACGAAAATATGTTCCGGACGCACTGGGGGACGCACGTCGTGCGTGCGCTCCCGGTGTTCTATTTCAGCCAGAATTGCTCCGTTTTTTCTATTTAAACAGCCTGTAAACTCCCGTTTTCAAGGGGGGCTTAGAGAGAGTGCCTAGCACGAAATTTAGAGAGCTTTTAAGCCTTGTTCATAATGTTTTGGATTCTTTGTAAGTCCCATCTTTGTATTTAACAACAATTAATTCTTTCTTTCCTAATTCTATGGATTTTTCAATTATGAATTGTGAGTAGTTTTAATTAGGGATTTGGGATTGATGAAGGGGTTGATCGTGATGTATGGCTAGTTTCTTGATGGATTATTTGTATGAATCTTTATTTGATTTGTGTTTGAATAATCGAATTGATATCTCTTGTAACCTAGAACAGCTACTAGGATGATAATTAAAGAGGCATGAGATGAACTCATTCAGGGAACCATGCTCAATCAGATTTCTGGCAGATTTTCTGTGCTAACCTTTCAGGAATATTAAAGAGGCATGAGATGAACTCATTCAATTCAATTTCTGGAGGAATTCCTTACCCTCAAACCTCCATGGAATATTCACCATATAAGTCTTACCCTCCGTACACTCATAATCAATATTATTCTCCTCACCAATATTACTCTTTTACACCACAAAATAATCAGTTTTCTTTAGGGGTGGTTCGGTACGGTATAACTAAGATTTTATCCCATACCTTTACCATACCGTAAACTTTTGGTATGCAAAAATACATACCGTTACCATACCTAAATTTCGGTATACCTTGTTTCGGTATACCAAAATTTCGGTGCGGTAAGCTACGGTATCGGTAAATTATCATGATTTAATATCAAATTATTATATATCAAATGAAATATAGAAAATTAGTGTTAATAGTGATATACTAAAATTATAAATGAAATTAATTATAAAATACCAATGATAACTTATTTGTGTTCTATTCAACTTTGAACAAAAAATATTATAAATATGTACGGATACTTCAACACATGATATATGAAGATAACAACACATTTTGCTAAAATAATAATTTAAACAACATAAATATATTTGAAATAACATCGATCTCCAACAAAAAGTATAAATAATTCAAGAAACATGGATATAAAGTCATTATCCTTGAATTAATGTTGTGTTTCTAGTTATTTTTATAATTTTAAATAAATTATTGGCTTGGAATTACGGTATGACGGTATAACGGTATACCGTTTATTTCCAAAATATATACCGATACCATACCGAAGTAATTCGGTACGGTATCATACCGTACCACAAGTGTCGGTATACCAAACACTTCGGTAAATTCGGTATTTTTCGGTATGGTAAGTCCGGTATACCGAAATTTCGGTATTTTTCCCCACCCCTAGTTTTTTTATCCATACCCTCCAACCACGCAACCCTTCCAATCTCAATCCCCTCATCATTGTGCTTATTCACAATATCCTAGAGCAAAACCAGGCTTCATTCTTGAATATCTTGTTCAAACTAAAAGTCCCGAGGAATTGGCTGATTGTTTTCCTAAAAAATAGCATTTGTTCCTTTTGTGGAGGAGGTCACCATTTATGTCTTTGCCTCATTCCTCCATATGACCATCCTTATCAGACAACTACATATCCCACTTCTTCCTCCCCACACTTTATGAGCACAAATGTTCCAGTCATTCCGACATCCTTGCCGGGTAATGAGCCATATAATCAATTGGAGGAGGTGGAACATAAGATGCCTGAGTGGAAGCAAACCCACATCAACCTGGAAGAAACACTCAAGAAGGCTATGCAAATGACTGCAACATGTTTTCTGACCATATAGAATCAATTGGATCAATTGATAAACACCCTTTCTGAGGAGTCTGAGAGATCCCATCCTAGCGACACTGAAGCCAATCAGAGTGAACAAGTCTAGGTGTTCACACATGCTGATGGGAAGCACCTTGAGGGAACTGATCCCAATAAAGAAGTGTCTCTCCCCGTGAAAGAAGAACCATCATATAGTGACAACATCATCCGAGAAGACATTGATAAGAACGGTGTTAACGAGAGTTGAGATGCTCACATGTGGAGTGATACAGAGTCCAGAGGAGGTGTTTTGAATGTTCATAATGTTTATGAGGAAGAAGAAGACTTTTCTATGGTGCAGTTCGCTTACGGTGTTGCTCCTAATCCTTGCTTTGAAACATAATTTGAGCTTCCAGTGATACCTAGAGTAATCAAAGTTTTGACTCATGTCCTCTGTCTACCCAAAGAGGATGTGAGTTTCATCCTTCGCTTCTGTGGTGATGAGGGTTATGAAGACCATGTGCTGCCTACGTGTACTAAAGAATTTAAAGGTCTGCGCCACTTAATGGCATTTGTGGAGCGAAAGTTAGATGATTTGAAAATTAGTGCACCATTACAGTCTTTGCTATTTGAGAGCCTATGAGGTATCGTCGGGCACACGACGTTAAAAATAGCGCTTCTCGGAAGGCAACCCGAGCTTATTTCTGCGTTGTTTTTGTTTTTTGTTTGTTGTTTGGTTGTTTTGCTTTGTGTTTTTGTTGCAGCTCATAGTTTTTCGTTGGGATGATTTGCCGAGGATTACTTGACTCAGTTTAGTTCTACACAGATCAACGCCCTTAGGGAAGTTTTCATGATCATTCCGTTTGCCTGTGTTAATTTTTGACTTGAGTTAATGTGAGCACACGTGACCCTTTCCTCTTTACCCCCTTGTGCATAATGCATTTTTTTGTCATCGAGGGCGATGTCAAAGTTTAAGTGTGGGGTGAATTGGGTATTCGGGCAGTAGTTGTTGCGTGAATTGGTCTAGATAATATGTATATGGTGGTGGATATTCTAGTTGGGCCATAGAAAAGGCATATGGTTGACCGGTTGGTCAAACGAGGCCCCATTACCGGTATTGATAATTTATGAGATAACAGCCCAAAATGAATTTCGGGGACTTCGAAATTAAAGTTGGGGAATGTATACTCATTCTAAAGGCCCATAGTGATTGGGAACAAGACATATATTTTATTTGGTCCAATAAAATAAAATATAATTAAAACAATACGAGAAATACAACTTTCGAGACCAATTGTACATTTCGGGACACATTAATAGGCCCAAAGATTTACCCGCTCAGGCCTATTTTGGTGATTTATTTGGGATTCCCTCTCTTAGGTTCATTTAATTGTTGTTTTATTGGGTAAGGTTTGGTCCCCCCCCCCCCCCCCCCCCAATTTTCTTTTAATTTTTCTGCTTTATTTTTCTGTGTTTTGTTTATCGGGTAAGGTCTAGCCCCCCGGATGCTTTTCAGCTTTCGTGTGTTTTTTTGAGGGTATGCCCTCTTGAAGAGGTTTTGGTCTAATCCCCCCCCCCCCCCCGCTTTGTACCTTCCTTATTTTTAATAAAATCTGGCAAATGTTCCCCGACATTTGCCCCACTGATTTTGGTGGTTTGCTTTTTGGGTTGAAAAAATACTACTTCTCCGTTCTCTAATATTGTCTCGTCTCTTTCTAGAACAATCTCACCAAGATATATCATATTGAATAAGAAAAATTGACAAGAATAATCTC